ATTGGCAGCATGTGTTCCCATTATGATAGAAACATCCTTGCATAGAGCTGTCAATATAATATTTTTCAAATTTAGAAGCCTGTGCCTGTGAAGCCCGTCCAGAATATTGAATATGGCCCATATAACGATACCTCCCTTTCTTCTGTATTTGAATGATTATTATACACCGAAATTTTATCAAATTTCATATTTGATAAAATTTCGTGACAGAAAATTGCATATGCAGTTTCAGGTCTTCGTATAGCCCCACATAACGATACCTCCTTATATTCGGTATTTTTATGATTTTAACGAAAAATTTTTACCGAAATTTGTTACTCCTACATTCGTTATTTTAATGATTTTTGTACATTGTTCACCGGAATTTCCTATTTGAATATCATAATGGCCTATGACGAAAATTGTTATTCAGATCCACGTCTTTGTACAGGCCCCAATATAACGGTAATAGGGAATACACGTTATTCTATATTTTTTGATTTTAGTAGTATTTTTCAACGGATTTTTTTTTTTTGAAAATTTGCAAATTCTTTCTAAATGGTCGACCCGCCGGTTTTCAATGGTTTTTACAAAATCTAAACATTTTTAGATTCTTTATATAAAATCGTCATGCCAAAATCAAATGAAAACTTAAATTTTTGAAAAATCTGTTATTCGAAAATACTTAAAAGTTGGATTTTGGCCATATGTCAAAATACAAAATAGTAGTCCAAATTATGTACATTTGGATGCACTAAAATTTAAAATTTTAAATTATAGCCATATTGGTAGATAAATGTGATCAGAAATGTTTAAATACAGGTGCTACTATTGAGGCAGAAACTTTGGAAATACTGAAGGCAGGAGGTACGAGACAAAAACAGGAGCTTTTTTTTGAAGTGCTTCTTTGTATTAGATATTCTGCTGATTGTAGCCGCATTTTCCAACGGATTTGTTTAAGAATCCAAATTTATAGCTTGTACTGAGGTCTTCGTCCTTTGGCTCCATTTCTATCCTATGTTCTTTAGGTCTTTCTATAGCATACATATGTTGTTACCTCTACGAGCTCGTCTTTTTGATTTTAACCGATTTTTTTTAAAGAAACCGTTTAATATTTGGACGTTGATGTTCACAATATATGCTACTTACTGAAAAGGACATTTGTTAACATCCACGTTTTCGTATAGCCTCCACATTACAATACCTCCCGATATTCGGGATTTTTATCATTTTACCCATATTTTTCAAAGGAATAGGAAAAAAGGTGGCACTTGGGGTTTGTATTCGAACCCGTTTGAATATTGAATCCTAATAATTTAGCTTTTAAAGGTTTTTTTTTTTACCTCATCCTGCCGAACTAGAAGCCTTTTACTTGTTTCTCTACGTTTTTTACTTATGCAAACTTTTCCAAAGAAAGTCTTAAAATTTAATTGCAACATAAAAATCCATCGCAATGTAGATTTTTATTGGTTTATTTTGATAGAATGGATCCATATTCCATCAAAATCAAATCATAATAAATTTACAAAATAAAATGCAAATAATTTCCTCAATATTCAAAGTAACACCACCCAAAACAATTGGACCGAATACTGTACTTTGTAATCACTTACGGTTGGAATAAAAATGTCAAGTAAATTGAAAACAATTACCATATTCGAAATAAGTAATGGAAGCCCAAAGCAGACAGACAGACGGACATAGTGATTGTGGACGCGTTACATTCCCCTTTTTTTGGGGGGGAATTACATTGTAACCGAAAGCATTAGTAATTTTTATGATATATATTTCCTGTTCGGGGCAAAGAAAGCAGCAATGGAAATCGATAAATGAAATTTGTTCTTGACGATAAAGACTTTTGTAGTAAATTGACCAGCAGTTTGGTGGGATTACTTTTGTGGAAGTTATTCAAAGAAAATGTTTTATGTGTGTGGAAATGATGGCAGGCAGTAAAGATAAACGCCAATATTGAATAATTGTATAACGATTGAATTGCAGAACTTAATTATATACAAAATAGACATGGTTTAAACAAGCTAATATTAAAAAGTTAATTGGGTGGCGAAAATAGATAATTAATATCTATTAAATAAAAAACTGAATGGGAACTTTTAAACAAATAACAAATGGAAAAGTTTGAATTAAACACCACCATGTCTTGCAACACCAAAGCAGTCTTTAATGAGACAAACTCATTACAACTGATCTGAAAAGAATTAAAAATAAAATTTTGGTTGGTTGGCTATTTGACAAAGGGCTACACTTTCGTCTCGGCGATTAAAAAATAATTATCTTTTGGGTATTTATTCATGTACTGTATGATCGGAAGTGAACTGAAGCATTCAGCATGTTATGTTGTTTAGAAAGGGTAAAGTGTCTTACAGTATGCCTGTCGTTATATTTACAGGTTGGAAAGTTTTAGTTGGTATTCCGACAGATATATGTATACCATCTGATTTTAGGATGTGAAATTTTTGAAAATTAAATTTTCATCTTGTGTGGGGGAGGTACAGGAATGACTTCACCAAAATTGTCCATTTTCGATCCATCCCATGTATTATCTATATTTTACGTGTACCAAGTTTGAACTACACTAAGTAAGTGATTTTGATATAGAGCTAGCAGCTGATTACAATTTTTTTCTAAGCGTGCCCGACTTCTGCCAATATTGTGTATTTTTTATTATTTTGAAAAATGAATAAAAATATTTTCAAAACCAATAATTGGAAGACACGTACACTATGTCTCGCGCATCAAAGTTTTTAACCAGTCAGTTTAGTCATGAAACTGAAAGACCGAAGAGTTTGAATCATATTTTTGAGATAAATTCCAGGCATTCCATTAATTTTTCGCGCTATTTAGCCCATTTTAAAAATGAGGAAAAATATGAAAAAAAGAAAACTTTTTGTATATAATTTTGAGTGAGTCTGATAGGAAGCGGGCATTGCCTCAGGGCTGTATTTCTGTAGTTTTACGAAGCTATTCTACCTCCTTATTGTACCATGAGTATGGGCTAAGTTTTTTTTTTTTTTTTTAAATTTGAGATTTTTGTCGGGCATGTACCAGAAGCATATTGCTCGTCTCCAAATTAGATTAACACGTACTGAAAATACTACAGGGAAAATACATATGGAACACTTCAACCAACGAGATGCCAAATAACGAACAAGCTACTTAAAATAAAATATTATATTTTTCTTTACCCAAATAAACAATATAATCGCGTAAACGTCTTCACCGAGCAACATATCTTTGTTCTGTTTGCTTTCTAAATATCGGAATTCAGAATGTACTGAGGGGATTAGTGTCCTTTAGAAACTTTGAATATCGCATTTTATTTAATTTGGCTCTTGCCAAATGGAAGATCCATAGCGAAAATTCTTGCTGGAAGCAAGATATTCTATATATTAAGAACCCGAATTGACCAACAACAGTTAATTTTCGACAGAAATAGACAACATCATGAAAACGCCGTTATGTGGGTCCTACACTTTAATATGTATGAACACATACACACCGTATTCGAAACCAATAATATCTGTGCAAAACTCTAACAGACGGATGAACTGGCAAGCAATAGCTTATATTCCCCCTTAGAACGTTATCCAAGTTGCTGAATGTATTCACTTTATTTTGCTATAATGTTTCTTGTTTTGGACAAAAAAAGTTAAAAAACAGTAAGCCCGACCGAACTTTGAATACCCTCCACCGAACGAATTTAGAAATTTTCAAAAAATAAATTCCGTTAAAAATTTTTGATAAAATCTTAAAAATAGACAATACATAGACATTTTTTGTGTCACAGACTGTAGTTCCCATTAATTTACGTAATTTGAAACAATTCCGGGGAATAATGTCGCTAAAAAATCAAAATCAAAATACCGAATATAGGGAGGTACCGTTATATGGGGGCTATACGAAGACGTGAACCTGCACAGACAATTTTTTGTTTGAGGCTGTAGTGTCCATTTCGAACTTCAAATAGCAAATTCGAAACAATTCCGGTGAATAATGTCGTTAAGATCATTAAAATGCCGAATATCGTGAAGTATCGTTATATGACGGCTATATGAAAACGTGGACCTATATGGTCCATTTACGAACTTAACCTAACTCTACTGGCAAAATAAACATATGTGCAAAAGTTTAGCTTTATATCTCAATTCGTTCGAAAGTTCGTGATTACAGACAGACAGTCGGACTTCGCTAGATCGTCTTAGGATTTTACACTGATCTCGAATATATATATTCTTTGTAGGGTCTATTATAAATATTTCGAGGAGTTACAAACGGAATGACAAAGATAATAAACCCTTCATAGAATGGTGGATGGTATAAAATAATGTTATGATCATTTCACATTAAAAGGTATACATTTAAAATTTACAAAATTGAAAATTTTAAAAGAATCAATTTTCAAATTTATAAGAATGCGGAGATTTCTCACTGATTTTTTTACAAATTTTAATTTTAAAATACTTTTGTAGTTTCTTATAGCTATAAATATGTCCTTTTTCACTGAAATTTTTGAAAAAACAACCTTTGATTGTATCACTTCTTTAATTAAATGTTGAATTTCTCCACACCCACTATGTTTTCATATTTTTCAAGGTTGCCACTCACTCAGCACGTTAATCATTGTTTCCGTAATGTTCCTTCAACGCAATGTTTCACTAAAATCTCCCAAAATTTAAAAGCAATCTTGACATTATAATCCGCTTGAAGAGAAGGAGAATTATTCATCAGACTTCGTCCACTGAAAATTGATTGGAAACGACACTAGACATTTTTTAAAATTTCTTGTTATAAGTATGATGGAGTAGTCCTAAAAGCACTTGACACCATTGGCAATTTATAATAGACATAGTTGACTCATTAGAACCTCATTGTGAGGCGAAAGCGCGACATCGCGTAAATCATCAGGAACACTGATATGATTTCGATTATCGACGGATGCAGAGCTCATTAACATTGTCACACAGCACTGATTCATATTTCATGGCGACAGGTACAACACTCACCACCACAAAATCAACAGAGGACGTCTGCAGATAAACATTGTCTTCACACCAAACGCTAATTGCGGTTATCGTTTTTTTTTTTAATTTTTTAAGATTTATTTTTTTTTTTAATTTCTTTTTGCTTTGCGTTCAACCGTATTTGCTGCCAGGATGTCTGCTGTGCAACTAAAGACCGAATCGAAACTGTCACCGAGTTTAAGGTATGTCTTTGGTACGTTGCCACCGGCTAGGACGCTAGGAAGTAAATGTCGAATGAATCTCACAACAAATGTTGCTTTGGAATTTTGGCGCGCAAATAAGAATGTCTTGTAGTGGGACTGTGTTGGGCATCCCACATGTTCAGTTTTGGAGTGCATTGTACTCGTGGAACGAATGCAATAAGAGCATGCGCCAGAAATCAACATTCCATATGACTACATGTGGACTACGTTCATTCATAAATCGGTAATTGAAATGATGGTGCTTGGATGGACATATATTTGGATAAGAAATTATATATTTATTTTTAGTTTGATTAAAAAAAAAACTTGAGAAATAATGGTCGAATTACTTGTTACCTTAGATATGTTAAATTAACGTATAATTGATAGCAGTATTTTACAGCTAAAGGAGTCTGATTTTGAACTATGTTATCCGTACTCGTGGTATTGAATCGCGTGAAATCCAATCCTATACTTGTGCTATGTAGGCACGTGAATTTTGAAAGTTGTAGTCGCTACATTCGTTTATTGTCATTATTCTATAACTTTATATTACACTGTGCGACAGCAAAAAATTCACACTTGCTCTAATGATCCAATTCTGGTTTGTGGGAGCCCACCAATGACGAATATGCCTTTTGCTTTTCTGGGCCACTTCGAAAATCGGTTTTATAACGGTAAATATAGAGAAAATCAGGGTTTCTTGGACTTAACCTAATTAGTTTTGAGATGGACACTATTGGTTTACTCCTTCCAACTCCACCAGAACTAAGCAGAAAAAAATAGTAATAAAACAAGTTAAAAATCGAACATTTATATCCAATTTTATGCGAAATCAGAAAAAACGGTGCGATCTCTACCATCTTGATAACAGGTTTTGTCTTGATAGACACATTGAGATGTGCCAAGTCTGAATGGATGTTATTTCGCGTTTTATGAGCGCCGTGGATATTCAATATTTTGAACCATTGTTGGGGAGGTACTTAATGGAGTGGAATGATATTCTCCATTTTCACACCTGATCTAGCACTGCTACAAATATTAGGATTACATAAAGTTGGAACGAAATCAGATTATCCTTTCTCTTTCTGTGCAGTAGTATATATATATATTTTTTTTTTTTTTGAAAATTTCAAACTTTTCTGGGCGAGTTACCAGAAGGAGTGGACCGATACTGCCCATCTCCGAACTCGATCTAAGTTTGATAATTATATTACGATGTACCATGTTTGGACCAAATCGGATAATAATTTCAGACAGACGGACGGACGGACATCGCTTGATCGACTCCAAATGTTCTGAAACGAATTTGGTCCATGAAGACCTAGACCCCATTATTTCGATGAGGCAAGTTTTTAACAGTATTAAATGATATATACCCTCTCCAGCCATATTTTATTTCTAGGGCCTGTTTCTCTATGACGATACCAAAGTGATTGAGAAAGAAAAAAAACACATCTCTTGATTGAGTTTTTCAAATTTTTATTTTTAAATAATAAATTAATTATAATAATAATATTTATAATGGTGCTTTTAATTCTGATTCAACAAGCAACCAAATTTGATTTAAAACGGCACATATATTCGATGGCCGAACCAAGGAAAGAAGATCTTGTTTCCCGATGCCTGTTTCAAATAAGCAATCCGAAATGTAGATTTTCGACTTTTAGTATAAAACGGTACAAGGGGATTCTTAGCACTTATTCTGCTCAGGAGGCCTCTTTTGGTCTTCCCTTTCACCCACCGTACTAAATATGTTACTATGATTGATTTATATTTTTCCATTTCTGTATGTGGTTATTGTAAAATCACAAAGTATTTGAAGAGAATCAATTTCGTTACATATACAGGGTGAGGTAAAAAAAACTGCAACAAAGTCAAACGACATAATTTTTACATTTTTTCTTAAATTTTATTGAATGAAAGAAAAAAATGTCGGATATAGTATCAAATTTTAGAATAAGTTTAGATTTGTTCGAATGGGTCACCTTTGGCACGAATTATGGCTTTCAGACGACCAATGAAACCGCCACACGCTGCCCGAATGTTGCTCTGCGGTATTTTGACCCATTCCCGGCGAAGCGCTTGCTTGAGATGATCGACACTTTAGTATTTTTTAGTCCCAACCTTGCGTTCCAAAATACTCCAGACACAATAGTCCAACGGATTTTATCCGGAGATTTTGGTGGCCATTGTACGCTCGAAATGAAGCGAGACACCTCATTTTGTAACCATTCTTGGGTGGCGCGTGTTGAGTGCGATGTTGCTGAGTCCTGTTGGAATGCCCAAGGTTTGCGTGACAAGACTTTAATACACCCTCCAGAATATTTTCGAGATAATATTAGGCATTTATTCTGATGGCACGGTCAATTAATACGAGCGGAGAGCGAGCATCAGCTGTTATGGCGGCCCACACTATCACTATGGCTGGCACTTGGGTTCTAGTGGCCCACCGAAGGTGCACATTTTTAGCTGACTTCTTTGGCAAATAAACACGATCATTTTGCTTGTTTACAAACTACTAGACAACGAATGTTTTCTCATCGGAGTAAACCAAATTCGGCAGTTCACCACTTTCGGCCAAGCGAAGTAAGTTCTTGCACTTTTTGGAATTTCAATGGCTTTACCCCGAGCTCATTTTTCAATATTTGCCGAATGGAATATTGCAATATGTTCAGCTCAGGAGCCATTTTTCGGCCACTGCAACGCGGGTTTCGATCAAGTCGCTTCTTTACTTTTGGAACGATTTCTGCTGATGTTGCTGCTTTCTTCCACGTCGACTTGACGTCGAGCTACGGTAACGAGCGAAGGTACGAGACACAAAAGATTTATTCACATTTAAATGCTGGAGTGCTCGCGAAAGCCACTAGTGGTTTTCCAGCCAAATATAAAGAAATCACGCTTGAAATCCATCACGAATAACTTTTTTTCTGGAAAATTCTCACCAAAATGCTTTTGTACGCTTGTAAACAATATTATGAGCTGTTACTGGAATAACTTTAACAGCTGTCTGGAGTTTCTGCAGTCTTTTCATCTCACTATATGTGTATTGACCAGTGCATTTGTAATTTTTGAATGATGGCAAATGCGTTAACAAGCCTCCCATTACCTGCCCATTCCTGTAGTCCTTCAACCAAAAATTGCAAATGCATATGCTTTACATACACATCGCATCATCCGCTGCGTTGGTTAGTTCGTTAGCCAACCGCAATGGCATTGGAGTTATTTTTAAATTTCACTCTAACATCGTGGCATTTGCGAGAATTGAATTACATAATATCCGGAGCACATTACAACCACGATATTCAAACGTTGGTGTTTTTTGGAAGCACCTTTGAGGTTGAACGTTACATTCGAGCTGCCGAAATATGGACCACACCGAAAATAGTGATTACCGAGCACACGGGCGAGATACATTTGAAAAATGATGCTGGAGTTAATAATAACATATTCTTTGTGGCCATTGGAAACCTTCGCCGGCGCTCATTTTGGAATCACATGAACAATGCCCTGTCGGAGATGCAAAGTCGAGTACGAGGAGTATTCATTACCAATCCACCGAACGGCAAACGAGCTCAGCTGAATATTGGAGAACATTTCGAATGGTGTTGGCAGCGGGGACTGATAAACACCCTCATTCTGGTCGATAATGAGCTGCCTAGGGAGGAACGCTTTGAGATTTTCAATTATAATCCATTTTTAAAAAATTCAATTCTGGACAAGAGCAACGCCACAAGCTTTAATTTATTTCCGGATAAATTTCGCAATCTGCATGGCTATCAGATTAAAGCAACGGCGCAATATGACCCACCGAGGGTGTTCGAAAGGAGAGAATGCAAGGGGAAGAAACGCCAACCGCTTTCGGGATATGTGGCCAATATTTTCCGGGCCTTCCTCAAGGAGTACAATGCCAGTTTATATTTACCATATTATTATCCGAATAAAACATTGGACATTGTGGAAATTTTGCAGCAAATTAATCAGGGTGATGTGGAACTGTCTATTAACCCCTATGTGCCACACAAGGGCGTCCAACTGAGCTACCCAATTCGCATGCTGCGAAGATGTATTGTCGTTCCAGCAGCAAAGGAATTGGAAAAATACAAGTATTTTATCATGCCCTTCGATGTGGATGTTTGGTTGTGTTTCCTGGGATCCTGGGTCTGGTTGAGTCTGGCTCGACTCTTGAACTGGACCAGTACCCATAGACGCTGCAAATGCAATCGTCTTGATGTGGGTCGAACTTTTTTAGAAGTATTTCGTCTTCTGGCATTTCTTCCCGTTCCTGGAAATTGCTGCAGTCGGAGTGTTCGATGGTATCACCTTTTGTGGTTCATGCTAATAGTACCCTTGGCGTTCATTCTCTCGAATCTGTATCTGGCTTCGTTGACCAGTTTCTTTTCGGGTTTAACATTCCGCCCGCAGATTAGGACGCTGGATGAATTGGTGAAGAGAAATTTGGCAGTTGAGACCATTGACTACGACATACCAAGTATACTGGACAATCGAGGCCTTCCCAAGGGGTTTGTGGACCTACTAAAGCCTCGTTCACCATCCGAATTGATAGCAGATATATTGGACCTAAGGTCAACGTTGACTTTCTCAGCTCTAATTGATCGCATTCAGTTTGTCTTGAATCAAGAGAAACATCTTCTCAAACCGACCAAACACATTGTCGAGGAGTGCATCAACACTGTGCCCTTTGGATTTGTAATGCCGCCACATTCCCAATTCGAATTACCATTGAATCGCTTCCTGCTGCGTTGTGCCGCTGCCGGCCTAATTGAGAAATGGGCACGCGATTCAATCGAAGATGCATATTGTTCCGGCATGCTAACGCTAAAGAAAACTGAATTTCAAGTGGCCCGACCATTGCTATTGGAGCATTTTCAATTTGGCTGGTATGTTTTGGGTGGAGGTTACACCCTGTCGTTGTTGGCATTTGTGTTGGAAAATCTGAAACGTATCCTTAGAAGATTCCGTATATTTATTATATATTATTGAGGTGAATGTTGCGACCAACGAAAATCATACAGATCAAGGGACGCAGACAGATTTACTGAACACAGACGAATATTTTTTGGAAAATATAAGTTGGACGGTAAGAAATAACACAACGGATGTCTGCAGTCATCGAGCAGAATTCAAAAAGAAAAGAAGTTTGAAAGTGAATTTTATTATAGGAGCGGAACAAAATTCGTCAAAAATTGAAAGATTACTTTATTTCAATTAATCCAAATAAACAAGTAATTAAAACGAAAAAAATCAATGCTTCCATTTCAATATTAAGATCGCCAAACACATGGTACTACTTCAGCAGTCTACAATTTTGTTCTGAGTGTGCCCGCCATTGTTTTGATAAATGACAAGTAAAATAGTGTCAGTCGGTTTTGCCTACCGATACCGATGTATACCCCCTGCCTTGGGTTATGTTTATTCAAACAGTTGACTCTTTATGGGAGAGGTTTCGAAGCAGTTGGGCAATATTGACCAATACGTTTCTGAAGTAACTTCCTACTTCCTGTACTCTATATAAGATATCTGCATATTTTTGGAAAATGTGGAAATATGCATGAGGTAACAGATATATCGGACTGAAATATTCCGTTTTCATACTTCATTTAATACAGATAAAAATTTTGGTATATGAAAAATTTTGAAGGAAATTGGAAAGATTTATATTCTATATTATGCGAAACCATAAATTCAGATAAATTACATATTCATATCAGATTTCTGATAAAAAGAAATATTTAGATATAGCAAGTTGTAAAGAATCGCCGACTTGTTTCGCAAGTTATGACAGATAAAAGTATTGGAAATTGTGACCCTTTGTGTGTGAGATACCAGAAGGGCTTGGCAGCTGTATATCATCTTCACAACAGATCTTGTGTTAGCAAAAATGTTTGTATGTGGGTAATTTGAGGTGGATGTTTATTTCGTTTTTTTTTTGAGCGTTTGGTTCCTCAAAATCTTGAACCCTATATGGGCAAGGTACCAAAAGAAATTGTGCGATCTCTACCATCTTTATAACATATCTTTTGCTAATGGGAATATTGAGATGAGCCGAGTCTGAATGAAATCGGATGCCAATTTCGTATTTTATGAGCTCCATGAATATTCAAAATTTTGACCCTTGAGAGAGGTACCAGAAGGAGTGGACCGACATATTTCATATTCATATTAGGTTAATAAAAATTTTGTAATTTGAAGAGAACCGGATGCTTCTTTCGGATTTTATGATCGTTTTTGATCCTTTGTGGGGGAGGTACCAGAAGGAATGGTTCGATCTCTACTTAAAAATAGACAGATCTTGTGCTGATGGAAATATTGATATTTTCCAACTCTGAATGGAATCAGATATCTATTTCGTGTTTTATGAGCTTCAGAATATTCAAAATTTTGACCTTTTGTGAGGGAGGTACCAGAAGGAGTGGACCATTTTCGCCCCTGACCAATAACTGACGCAAATATTTGGATTTGCAAAGTTGGAGCCAAATCGGATTGTCCTCTCTTTTTCTTTGCAGTAAATAATTTTCTTTCAAAATATTGACATTTTGTGGGGGAGGTACCAGAATGAGTGGAATGATATTGCCCATCTCCGAAGTTTTACAAGAATATTACGATGTACCAAGTTTGGATCAAATCGGCAACCCCTTTGAGAGTTATCGTGCGCACCAGCTAGGCAGACAGACGGACAGACGAACATAACTAGATCGACTCCAAATGTTCTGAATTTTTTTCCAAAGAGACCTAGGATCTAACTAATACCGTTATTTCGACTGGCACGTTTTTACCGTATCAAATCATACCCTCTGTAACCATATGACTGAGGGTATAAATAGAATCCGTTAGAAATTCTGTAAAAATCATAAAAATACCGAGTACAGGGAGTTACCGTTATTTTGGGATCTATACGAAGATGTAGACCGGCAGAGACAATTTTCTGTTACAGGCTGTAGTAAGCATTACAAAATATCATTTCGAAATTTGAGACAACTTCGATGAATAATGTCACTAAAATCATCAAAATACTGGATATAGGGAGGTACCGTTATATGGGGGCTATAACTAAACATGGACCTATTCAGCCCATATTCAATATCAAAAGTGCTGCTGGCGAATCACATATTTGTGTAAAATTTTATCAACCTCCTTAAATTCGTTAGGAAGCTAGAGTGATTTCCACAGACGAACGGAGGTCATCATTAAATCGCCATAGAATTTTATGCTGATCACGAATAAATACACTTTGTGGGGTCTAAAATGTATATTTCGAGGTATTACGAACGGAATTACAAAATTAATATACCCTCCATACTATATTGAAAGATTCTAGTTACTCCACCTTTGAAGATTCTAGTTATTCCACATAGCGCCATCTGTTATTAATATATGACTTCGTCGAACTCTGTTAAGAAAACCAGTAACTACAGTTGGTTTGGTATACACAATAAAATGTAATAGATTATCCTTTGTAGGATTTATTGTGGGTTCTATTTTTTGTTTTTATTTTGCATACTTAGCCTTGACACCAACCGTGGATTATGATATTCTGGTAGTGAAGATGTCGCCTCTTTATTTTAAATCGTCATTTTAATGCGAGGGCACATAGAAAAGTAGAAAAAGTAGTGGAACAAAATTTGTGTCAGCGCACAAAATGAATTAGAGTCAGAAACTGGCATTTAAAATCGAAACAATTTCAATATGTGCATTTCAGCTTGATTAAACTAAACATTTCGACAGAAACACCTAGCCAGTTGTCAATGAAGTTGTGTCTATTTTTGTTCATTTTCATCAATTTAAAAAGGGGAATACAAAATTATATCGATTAAATTTTACACATTTTTTTTATAATTGAGATATTTACTTTCATACAGAGCAGATTTCCCCCCTTTATGGTCACAACCCAAAAACGTATTTTCTATAATACTTTTCATAGGCCACATTAATTTCTCTTACCTATTAAAACAACATTTTGTAACTATAATAATATTTATTGTTATTCAATATCTTTGCAATTTGTTAAAAACTAAGGCTTAACCTAACCTAGACTTGTGTTGAAATTTGTAATTTTTACAAAAAATGTATTTATTTTATTTTGTATTTGTTATTGCTACGGTTGTTCAATTCATGCGAGTAACCATTGATTGTTTCGCATTTTTTGATTTTCCTCAACGTCGCTTAGTCTTACGGCTAACCAACAAATTCATCTTCATTAGCATTTGTAAAAGATTAACATAAAAATGTGTTTATACAAAAACTCAATAAAACGATATTATTAAATTACAAATTACATTAAACATTCTAGAAAGGTTTTGATTTGTTTTTAGAATTTTAGCACCCAAAAGGTATAAAACAGTGGTTGAGACAGATACAGATACAGAGAGAGATAGAGACAGAGACAGAGACACACGCACACGCTGGTGAGTGGGTGAGTGATTGAGTAATGGTGACATCGGCTCCAGTGTCACCATTTCCCCATTGATTTCTTTTTGTTTGTCCATCATACCGGATACACCTGCTTGGTTTGATATCAGCGATAATATCTGGAAAGTAGGCAAAAAGAAAAGAAAAAGTTCATTTTTTTGGAAAGACGATTCTGGGGACTGTTTTAAAGCTTCAACGTAAAAAGGCTGCTAAAAACTCATTAAAAGCTGTGTCTGACGTTAGTTTGATGTATTCGCGATTCGAAAACACAAAAGAAAATACTTGAATTAATTCTAGAATCGAATGACTATGAATTGCAAAAAAGCTGAGCTGGTTGGTTATCGCATGGATGATGAAGGGAAAGAATCACCTTAGATTTGAAGTCACAACTCTATTGAATGGCTTGGTATAGCTTACTTGTGTGCTAACCTGCAAATAGAAAAGACTGTAAGGAAAACAGATACTCAAATGCCGCACAGGGTTACATCTTGGTGAAAGGGTGAAATTGCATTAGATTGATAGAAACTATGAGTCATAGGTTCGTGAACGATGGTTCAACATGAATTCCAGTCAATGCTTACCAAATGAACGCATGCGCATGAATTGATTGTGATGTTTTGGTTTGTGGATTCCATTGGATTGATATCCATCAGTTCAGTTTTTGGCGATTTGTTGTTTTGTGGTTACTTAATTAGCACCTGAAATCTCTTAAAAATTAAACAGTTATTGGTTTTCATGGCATTTCGAAATGTTAAGGTTAATGTTACATTGCAAGTTTGGGATTCGAAATGAAAATGCAAAAGCCAAATGAGGAGCGTTTACCTTTGTGTTTCTGTTCCAAATGTAAGCTGTTGAAGAGGCACTAATGAACGGGTCTAGTATCTATGATGTTGATGAAGCTAGAAGTGGCTTGCAAAAGAAAATTATTTTAAATAGAATAACGGTAATGTGGCGAAAACGTGAACCTACATACGACTTTTTTTGTCATAGGCTGTCGTACCATTTTCCAACTTTAAATACGAAATTTGTTACGACTCAAGTGAATAATGTCGCACAAATCATAAAAATACCGAGTAGTAGGAGGTACCGTCATATGGGGTCTATACGAAGACGTGGACCGGCATACAAACATTTTTGTCATTATGAACTTCAAATACGAAATTTGAAATAGTAAATATGAAAATAAAAAATGTTTTTCCATAAGTTGTAGTAATTATTAAAATCTCCCAATACGAAATTTGAAACGATTCCGATGAATAATGTTGCTGAAATCATCAAAACTCTGAATATCGGGAGCTGCCGTTATATGGAGGCTATACGAAGACGTGGACATGCATACAAAAATGTTTGTCATAGGCTGCAGTACCCATTAGAACTTCAAATATGAAATTTGAAATAATTCCGGTAAATACTGTCGCTAAAATCATGAAAATACCGAATGTCGGTAGGTACAGTGATATGGGGGCTATTCGGAAACGTGAACCGACATGTCCCATTTACGAAATTAACCTGCCTACTGATAAACTATGCATGTATGCAAAATTTTAGCCTTCTATCTCAATTCGTGATTACGA